TTTTCTTTTCTTTTCTTTTCTTTTCTTTTCTTTTCTTTTCTTTTCTTTTCTTTTCTTTTCTTTTCTTCCTTTTTTTTTTCACTGTAAATTCACTGTATTTTCAGTGACACTTCCACCTTTAGTGAGGACTCCCTGGTGTCACTGAGGTCTACTGACTTTCCAAAGTCTCTTTGCGAAAGTGGAGTTGGGTGCTGTTGATGCGGGCAGAGTTTGGTTTTCCAAAAAGAAACCCGAGTAGAATTTCTATGGAAAGTTGTCCGGATTTAGATACTTGTGAAGATATTCCCCACCACCACCCCTGCCTTTGTTTTTTCTCTCTATAGTATGCCTGTATAGCACCAGGTCCAACTACAGTGTGATGGAAACGACGATAGTAATTGAATAACTCAAAATTGTCCTCAAAATCAATGAGATAACCAGCTTATAGCCCCAGAGAGACGCGTGGATCCCGTGGAGTGTGTGACTCAAATTGGAGTTCATCTGATTGTGCCTAGTAAGAGGCAGAACAAATGAGGCCTCAGCTGCAGAAATGCCCCCGCGCTCGTGGGCTAGTGCAGCTCAGCGGAGGCCGGATGGCTCCCGTGCATCCCGCAGGAGCCTGTGGCGGAGGCGGCAGGTTTTGGGGATGCAGAGCCCCAGGGGAGAGCTGCCCCGTGGAGTCTGTCCCTCCAAAGTGCAGCGAATACAGGACCACCAAACGAGAGGGTAGTAGCCCAGCCTCGCAACAAGATCGTTTGGGGAACGGGGGGAACCTAGAGCTGGATACGACAGCTGACTAATAACTCTGCCTGGCTGGAGGTGGTCACGTACTGACTGGTGTTTCTTACTCATAACTCTGGTATCAACGCATCAGCAAGGCAATTTTGGCTTCCTCAATGCAGTTCGAACGGTGTTTTCTTAAAATTCAGGACGCTTCCAGTCTGTGGAGATATATTTTGTTTCGTTGATACGTGCAGGAAGAAACTGCTGCTTTGCTGCTGAGAAGGAATACCAGGAATATTTACATTTGAATAATATTTAACTAGCAATGCTTAATACATTAACAATAAATCTTGGTTAGATTCTAACTTAAGCGGATTTGCATCTGAGTAGGTGAGATGAACAGAATAGATTCTGTTGAAATATAAACAAGGCAGAAATTTGTTCCAAAATAATTTAGCCCAAAGGACATAAACAGTAATGTTCAATAGCTTCCTCCTCCAGAAACAGTTCTACATTCCTTATTGCTAGCATGTTGTTTCTTAGGAGGAAGCTCAAAAAATCTTATTTTGTTCTTGTTAAAGAGTCTGTACTTGAGCATTACCTACGAACCCCGTGTTGGCTGCAGTGCTGCTGAGCTGGGTTAGGTGGGAGCTCCCTAATGACGTGTTGGCCTTTCCAATGGAAGCGACGGCCCTAGCCTCGCTCTGCTGGTTGCAGAGCCGTCGCTGCCCAGGCAGCTCCTTACAGGTGGCCAGGAAGGCTTTTTTGGGCTCCCTTTGCGCCACCCGTAGCTCACGTCGTTGAACACACGTCTGCTTCTCTTGGACCGAGGGGACAGAAGGGATTGGAACAGAGTTTCTGTTCCTGAGAAACATGGGGTTAGGGCCGCTCGTGGGGGAGTTGTGGGTCGTGGAGTCACGTCGGGGTTTATGGCGCTGCCTTCCTGCTGGCTCTCGGCTCGGCGTTGCCACAGCGAGCGCGGGAACGGCCTCGCAGCGTCCGGACGCGAGAGGCGCTCCCGACTCGGCTGTGATTTGCTCTGGGCAAAGGGAACTGGCCTCGCTGCCCGTGAGCTGGATGTGCAGCCAGGGCTCCCGCCGGCTGGAAGCGCTCGGCCGCGTTCCRGCCACCTGGAAGCTCCTCTGCTGCGTCCTCGTGGTGGTCACAGGATCACAGGACGGTTAAGGTTGGAAGGGACCCCTAGGGCTCACCTAGTCCAACCGCCCTGCTCCAGCAGGGCCACTGGAGCACGGGGCACAGGGCGGCGGGTGGCGGGGCAAGAGTCGCCGTTTACTGCTTGGCGGCGGGYGGATGGGCTCGCGTGTTGCTGACCTGCTCTCCCTTCTCTCCCTGCCGGCCGCCTCCCCAGCGTGCCCTGGAGATGCGAGACGTGCCCTGGGCAGCAGGAGGCTCACGTCTGGAGAATGCTGGAGCTGCAGGAGGGGAGCGCCCCGTGCAAAGCCAGAGAGGAGCGAGGAGGAAAAAGGGCAGCGGGCCGCCGGTGCTGAGAGGAGCGGGCGGCAGAAGGTGCTTCCGAGCTGCCCGCGCGCCGCCCCGYGGCACTTGACGAGAGCCCAGCTGTGCGCGCGACGCCGGGAGCTCAGGAGTCCTGTCAATGCATTCCAGTAACCCCAAAGTGAGGAACTCCCCGTCAGGCAACACGCAGAGGTGAGCGAGGGGGCCCGCAGCGCCCCGCTCGGGCTCCGTGCGCGGTGCGGCCTCCGCTCGGCCGCGGGAGCTGCTGCGTGGGACGTGCCCGGCCTCCCCGCCGGCCTCCCCCCGGCCTCCCCCCGGCCTCCCCCCGGCCTCCCGCTTGGCCTGCGCTGGCTGTCAGTGCTGGCCACTCGCTGCTGAGGAGCCTCTCTGCTCGCAGGGCTCAGGACAGTGCTTGTGCCGGCCAGGTCCTGCTCTCCTCCTCCCTTCTCTCACGGTTTAAATAGGTTGCAGGACAGTGAACATGCTGTTCCTGTCTGGTTTTTTTTCCCCTTCTAATTATCTGTTTCCCCAAGGGGCAGTTGGGCAGCAGCAGGTCTCCCTGCCAGCACTTTCACACAAAATGCTTCCCTCGTATTATTTGCTTGAGCAGCCCGGAGGACTGCTCAGCTGCGCGCTGAGCTCCTCTCTGTCCTTCACCTGCCAGGGCAGCAGGTCGGCCCCGCTCCGCCGCTGATTTGGACCGGGAAAAACGTGGAAGCAGAGCAGTGCCCGGGGACTGGCCGCGCTGTGATTGACAGCGTTCCCAGGTTTGGTTAGGTGCTCCCAGGCACCTGGAGCTCAAGGGCGACTCGGAGCGGGCGCCTCCGGGCCCCATGTGCGGCCACAGGAGGAAGCGGCGTGTGTGGGTCCCGCTGGCTCCACGAGGGATGGGGTGCACGGAGGAGCCCCATAGCAGGGCAGTGACTGCCGGGCRAGAGCAAGGGGCGGCTGATCCGTGTGTGAAAAAATCCGTGTGAAACAAAAAACACAGCGGAAGAAAATAGTGTTAGGAAGCAATTGGCTCACCGGGGGAGGGGACTAGGCTGGGTTTCCTTTGGCGAGTAAAGGGAGCCCCGTGTGCCCCGTTTTAGAGGYGTGCGCGGGGAGATGGCATCGCGCTCGCTCCCTGTTTGAGGCAGGTTGTGGCTGGTCTAATTGTTTCCATGGTCAGAGGTTTGTGTTTCCCTGGCAGCTCGCCCCGGCGCGTGATGAATGCTGCAGCAGTGCCGGGTTTTCCTTGTGCTCCCTGTAGAACTGGCTCCGGAGGAGCTGGCGGGAGAGGGAAGGTGGGGAGAGGGCTCTGCTCCGAGCTGCTCCGTGTGGTTTGGGCCTGGGAGAGCAGCGAGGTGATGAACTTCACCGGGGCTTGTTTGTTTGCTCGGGGCTGCTCCTGGCGCGAGGCGCTGCTCTGTGCACATAGAAACCGTCGYCTTTATTGACAGAAGCCCCACAGGTAGCTCCGCCTGTGACAGCAGCTCCGGGGCTCCGGCAGGTCCCTGGCTTGCCCCGTGCCTCCTTGAGCAAGGAGATCCCGTCTCGGATAATAACCCTTTCAGGGCATGTCCGAGAAAGCACAGGGATGACTCTGAGCTTGCAGGCGTTTTTATTTGTCAGCAATTGCCTTAGCTTGCATGGGTGGCAGTGGTGGCTTCTGCTTTCCTCTAATCTGTTCCCACAGGGTTGAATGATTCCACAGTCTGATCTTCCTTTTTTCTCTTTTTTTTTTTCCCCTCCCTTTTTTTCTCTTGCTCCCAGCAGCCCCAAATCAAAGCAGGAGGTGATGGTCCGTCCCCCTACAGTGATGTCCCCGTCTGGCAACCCCCAGCTGGATTCCAAGTTTTCTAACCAGGGCAAACAGGGGGGCTCCACCAGCCAATCCCAGCCCTCTCCCTGTGACCCCAAAAGTGGAGGTCACCCTCCCAAAGTACTCCCTGGCCCAGGCGGGAGTATGGGGCTGAAGAATGGGGCTGGAAATGGTGCCAAGGGGAAGGGAAAGAGGGAGAGGAGCATTTCGGCAGATTCCTTCGAGCAGAGGGATGCTGGGACCCCTAATGATGACCCCGAAATCAAAGGTAGGTCTGCTTGGAGGAAGCACGTGCAAGGGCAGAGGACGGGGAGGCCTGCTGTGGGAAGTGGAGAATTGCTCTGCAAGAGGTAGCCAGATACCTACTTGTCTGAGGCTCTGCCAGTGCCAGTGCCAGCCAGTGGGGTCCAAAGGTCCCGAGAGTGAGTGAAGAGGGGGGGTCTTCACAGCTGTGTCAGTAAATGTGTCCAGCTCTGTTCCTCTTCGGTTGAAGAGCAGCCCTGGCTGCAGCAGGAAGGTTCCCTGGTGACTCCAACCTGCCCCCCCCCAGAGGATTGGGAAGTACAAACACAACCCGTGGGTTTCCTTCTGGCCTTCAGCCTTCCAGGAACTGCTCTGGTTGAGCTGCGGCTTGGGAGCAGCGTGCAGGCCKGTTTGGACAAAACAGATTGATGGACAGACAGACAGACACGTCTGTCAGTCAGCCCTGTGCCTGATCAGGCAGGCTGGGAACCCTGCGTGCCCTTTCTCGCTCCAGCACCGTSCCAGCGAGGCTGTGCAAACCAGGCTGGATGTGCACTCCCCATTGCTCCCTCGCAGCAGCGCTTCGCTGTCCGGGCCTCGGGCCTTCTGGCCAAGGTTGCCCGAGAGGAGGCTTTGCACAGGGTTTTTCTCGGATGGAGTCGTTTTTAGATTTCCTCATTTTTAGTGTGTGCTTTTCGTGCTGTTGCTTATGGCCATTAGGGGAATGCCAAAGGATCAGCTCTGCCTTTTGGGCTGGAATGGGACTAGATAAGCTTTTGCCCAGCAGTGCCTTTAGGATAACATGGCATTAGGGGTATGGTGTAAGAGAAGAGATTCTTTAGCTGTGGATGGGGGAAAAAGCTGTGTGCTCTTTCCAGATTTGAGCTAAAGACRGGGTCTCTAAGGAACTCCCCAGTTAGTAATTTCCCTCTTTCCGCCTTCTCTTCCCGTTCCAGACTGCAATTCTGCCGATCACGTGAAGCCCCAGGATTCGCAGCACACRCCGCACTCCATGACTCCTTCGAATGCTTCAGCCCCGAGGTCTTCCACACCTTCCCATGGCCTGACTGCTGCTTTGGAGCCAGCCAGTGGGCAGAAAACTCCATCCAAAGTAGTTTACGTCTTTTCTACGGAGATGGCCAACAAGTAAGTAGGTGGATGCTTGAATGTCCCCTGGGAGTGGGGCTTGTGTTGGTGCTCCCTTTTTACAAGACTCAGTAGCGCGTTTTCTCCATCAAGCCTGTTTCTGTAGCAAAATGTCATTATTAAGTATTTGGGCGAGAACAAAAGGGCTTGGGTGAGGAGCGTCGCTGCTTCTTGCCCTCTGAGAAGCGATTATTTCTTCCTCTGAGCTGTGTTTCTGGCAACTACTGGTAGATACCGTTTCACAATCCGTGCAGGGACTGGAGGCAGGGAGGGCTTAAATGGAGGCCTGAGCCCCACGTTCTTTTGGGCTTGCAGATGTGAGCATCTGCTCTTGCTTCCCATCTGGAGTCAGATGCACATGGCACACTCCGTGCCTCTCCCACCTGCCAGCTGAAGGACAGAGGGGARGGTGGTTAGGAAAAATTCATTCTTAGCTTCAACTGGGTATGTGCATCTGTCTGTCTGTCTTTGCAGGGCTGCAGAAGCTGTGCTGAAGGGGCAGGTGGAAACCATTGTGTCCTTCCATATCCAGAACATCTCCAACAGCAAGGCAGAACGAAACACTGTACCCTTGGTAGGGATTACCTGCATGTGGGAAGGGAAGTGGGAAATACGCTTGGGTGTGCTTGTGGTTCCGGGAGAGGGCCGAGTATCTGTGCTCTGAAGTTTTAGGTTGGGAAAGAGAGAGCCGGTGGCTGGGAGCGCCCTCTGTGAATAAATGCCTTGTCCCATGTGTATTTATACACGTTCAGTGTCTGTAAATACCTCARGGGAGGCAGTGAGGAGGAGGGGGCGGCCTCTTTTCAGTGGTGGCCAGAGACAGGRCTAGAGGAAACGGCCACAAACTGAGGCACCAAAAGTTCCACAGGAACTTAAGGAAACACTCTGGACAGTGAGGGTGCCAGAGCCCTGGCACAGGCTGCCCAGGGAGGCTGTGGAGTCTCCTTCTTTGGAGATCTTCCAAACCCRCTTGGACRCAGCCCTGTGCCCCGTGCTCTGGGTGACCCTGYGTGWGCAGGRGGGTTGGACTAGATGASCTCTGAGGTCCCTTCCAACCTCGGGCATTCTGTGATTCCATGATTCCCTGCAAGGGAGAGCCGAGCGCTGCGGTATTGGGGCAGTGTGTTTCTGGCCGTTGCTCGCGCAGAGGCGGAGGGCGGCCGCCTGTGCCCGGGCGCCGCGGCCGCGCCGCGGTGCCGCC